TTTACAGGTTCATCCATCTAAGGCAACAAGGATAACCACTAATGACCCCAATACGGGCCCGTTTATAGTGACGCTGACTCGAACAACATTTGCCTCACTCCATACTTACCAAGTTCTAGTGTCCAGACGACAAAGGGGACTGTGCGCAATACGCATGCGTTGATGCCAACCCCCAACCTGTCTTCTATGAGGGGGCCTTGGTATTGCGTAAGTAAGTAGCGCAGATGCCTTATAACTGAAGCCCAGTTACCAGTCAAAAGTGGGACCGAGCTATCTCTTGGACGATCGATAACTTGCAGACCGCAACCATTAGTGTGTGTAATGACAGCTTGTGCGCATCTTTTTACTGTAAAGAAACTAAAAGGTGGATAGATCAGCAAGTTTGGGTCAAGCCCGTAAGAGATCCGATCAGAATGTGTCTGACGCGGAGTGAACCCCGTCCAGGGGATGCGATACAAACTAGGGATCTCTACTAAAATTTAGTAGTCTTGAGGTCCACATTTACGAAAATCAACAGTAGATGACTGTGCTTATGTTCACAAACTGCAGCGAGGTAAGTGGTTATGTAGAACAACAGATCGGCGAAACAGGCCGGAACCTGAAATAATCAAAAGTGGTCTGAAAGGCATCTTCAACAATATCTGTTCATTCTGCACGCTGGAAAACGGGAATCAGCATAAAGAGGCACCTTGATGGGGAGTTCATCTGTGCTGAACTCGAGGCCACGACGAAGAGCCCTGCGAACAGCTTCGATGCCCTCGTAGGCGAAACAGGAGACCTCAAAGTCAGCTCTGAGTTTTACCGCCTGCGGCATGAGACGATGACGGATATCCTGCAGCAACAGATCGCGGGCCGCTTTGTCAATGTCACATTCATCAAACACAGCTGGGGTTCTGGAAAGATAAAAGAGGAACATAGAGACGGAGGACAGAAACGCTACAAATATCTAGGTTTTTTGAGGTAGTTGAAAATAAAAGCGGTAACTTCGGCATGAATTTCAGATCCCTTATAAGGGGAGTGAGTGGTAAAGAGTGCCTCATTCAGCCGTGATGCTCCATTTCATATCTCACAGGAAGTCGCATGATGATTAGCAGTCAAAAAAGCACACAACATATGCGGCAGACACTTCCACTAACTTTAGTAGGTTGACCCCCAACAGGCAAGGGGAGGGTGATAAAAATGAAATACAGTTACAACGGGCGCGCGCGTAAACGTACTGACCTCATGAATAGGGATGAGCACCTTCTCAGACTATCATCAACCAAATTTAAGATGAATTGGAATGGCTTCAAGTCATCAAACTTAGTGCTCAATGCTTCTAATGAATGTGCTGCAATGACCGAAGTCACTCAGTTAAAAAATAAAGCCCCGGCGAGTTAATTAAAGGGGCATTTGAAAGAACAAATATACTGTTTAATCGCTTAGGACAGTCCTCAAGATGCGCGAATACAGTCCTGTGAGTAAAACAACCCCCTGAGAATTCGTGGTCAGATATGTCTGTTTGATCACACTAGATGGTAGATCTCTTGGTCTCATGACCAGTTTCCTCTATAAAACTGGCAAAAAAGGGATGGCATCAAATACTAGAGTGAGATGACCCTGAATGCTAAGCTATTAGTGTAGGGAGCCCGTGTGAAAACAACCTGTCCGTAGGACTGTGAGGCATGGTTCGTATGA